CCCAGATATGCACACACATGTACACACCCACGCACACCCACACACACCCACAGCCTGGCCGGCCCTGTGGAGGGTGGACGCAGAGGGGAGACCCACGCAGGCCCGCGGGGAGGCTGGGTCCCAGTGCGGGGTGCTCGGGGACAGGGGCACGAGCGTGGCTTGGAAAACAGGGCACAGGCTGCAGGTGGGCGTGTCTCCTCAGGCCCCAGAGCCCTGGCCCCAGGGAGTGGGGCACAGCCAGGGGTCAGAGGGGGACCCTCAGACATGGGTAGCACCCCTCCCCGCACTGAGGGCCAGAGCAGCCCTGCTCATGAATGATGAACTTGGAAAGTAAGATTCTGGAAAGATGGGAATGCACTCCAAGCCATGGAACGGGTCTCCCCCTGAGGTTGCCGGGGGAACGTGACTCAGGTCTAGTGTGGCCCATGTCTTCCTGGCAGAGCGGCCAGTGGTCCGTGTGTCCCTGCTTCATGCTGCCAGGGACACCGGCCTCCCCTTCACCTGAAAACAACATCGACTGAGTTCACCTTTCCAACAAAAGTCTCCGGCTCAGGGTCCAGAAGGGTCTCAATAACCAACCAGCAATGTGCATGTCACAGAAAATATTAACACGACTCACAGTGTCACTTCGGCCCCAAACTGTGAATGTGAGGAGAAAGGGTTGGGGGTGGGGGGCGAGAAGGGGAGGGGGTGCATATCCCAGACCACGGTCCTCCCACGCTTGCGTAGATCACACCGTAAGAGATTTAAAGCAAAACTCTCGCTTGTCCTTTGCAGTTCCTCATCGTGGATCTAAACATCTGCCCAGGCACCGTGTGGGCACATTTCAAAGGTTGGCATTTTAAAAGAAAGCCGAAACGTCCCTCTTCTAGGTGCGCTCCGTGTGATTGGACACCAGAGCCCTTGGCCGTCGCTGCCCGCCTCCTGCAGATCGGGCTCAGCCACCCGCCCTTCCCCGGCAGGAGGCTCACGGTGCTGCTCCTCCTCCTTGACCTTGTGCTTTTACTTCTCCTCCCCAGAACTGTATCCGAAGGGAAGGGACTGTTATGGCTGGAGGTCCCTGGCGCCCTGTGACATGCACCCAGAGTAGAAAGGTGCACATGCCAGGAAGACGAGAAATGTTTGCTTGGACTTGCTGCGGGTCAGGGTATCACAGACGCACCTCCACGCACAGGTGTCCGCCGCTGCCGGCCTGACAGCAGCGTTCCAGGACCATCCCTGGGGGCGGGGGGAGGGGGGGCTTCCTTCAAGACAGTGCAGGTGCAGAAGGGACCCCAGGGAATGTACCGCCCCCACCGCCGCCTGCCCGGTCCCCCCGAACCCCAAACAGCCCCAGTGCCTTCGCCAGACGTCCCGGCAGGAGAGCCCTGCCTGAGGCTGGGGTGCCCTAATGGAGGCAGCGGCCCCAGGAAAGCGAGGCTCCCAGGCCCAGTACTTCCAGCCCAGCTTTGACCAACAGGAGTTCACACCCTGGAGCAATGCGCAATGTTAAAATTTGGGTGGGTGAGCAAAACGCGTCTTTTTTGAAAAGAAGAGCGACCGTGAGTTAAAACGGGAGCTGAGAAGAGCTGGCAGGCCCCCTGGCTGGCCCACTCGCACACAGACGGGTTTTACCAGCCGTGCGGAGTCCTGCTCCTCGGGGAGGCAGGAAGTCCTACCCCCGGGCACACGCTGCGCTCAGAGTGTGCCCTGATCCGGACACACATGGCTGGAGACGTCCTGAGTCCGGGTTGTGGAGGATACCAGCCAGCAGTATCCCTCTCGGCTGCGGATGTTCGTAGAAACACGAGAAAAACATACACAGAGAAAACCAAGTCCTGTGGGGAAATAGGAACGAAATGGCCACTGTCTCTGGTGGGGACAGCGCCCCGTTCCCCCTCCGAGAGGCTTTTTATTGGTTTTGTTTGCATAAGAATTCAGGTACAGCTCATTACTCATTGCGAGGAAGTAAGGATCAAACAATAGATAACAGGGAAGTCTGAGGGCCTATTTTGAGTCAGGGTCAAAGAGCTGTAAAACTTTGAGGAACAAACTTACTTCTTCCCTGGACCCTTATCATTCCACTGAGAGCATTCTAAACAAAGCAGGTTTCACAGGAATTTACATATTTTTTCTTAGGCCTGATCACCCTGGGGACCCGCCCTTTTCAGCACAGGGCTGCACCACCCTGTCATTGTTTCAGGCTTAGGTGGAGCAAGGGAAGTAAGGCAGCCAAGAGATAAGGAGATTTTCTCCCAGATGATGAGGACTCAGGCTGTGTCAAAGCCGAGGAGTGAGGGTCCATCACCCCCTTTTGCTGTAGCCCCCAAAATCCTTTCTTGGGGGTCTCCCATGTGATTGTGCCTGTCTTAGGTCATTCCCCCCTTGGGGAATCTTACCTGTCATTGGCTAACCGACCAAGCACTGGGGGCCAGGCAGGGTGAAGTGAAAGGAGCAGAAGCGGTGCTCCTGCCAGGGAGATAAGCTTTGTCTCCTCAGTGGCTTATGGTCCAAGGCCACTCCCTCAGCCTTAGCCTTCGTGGGGGTTACAGCTTCTGATACCAGGCAGGGCGGTCCCCAACACCAGGTGAGACCGTACTGGAGTGCACCCTAACTGAAAGTGACTGTTGTCCTTGCAAGAGACAGACACAGAGGGAGAGAACAACCTGTGACAACCAGGCGGAGACCAGAGGGACGCAGCCACACGCCAGGGACTGACGGCTACCACCAGGACCCCAGCTGGAGCCTCAGGGACATGCTGGACCTCTGACTCCAAAACTGAGGGCTAGAAGTTCCCGTTTCAGGCCGCCGACCTTGCAGCACTTTCAGGGGGCCACCTCGGAACACGAGTCCATGCTGCAGCCGAGGGCCTGGGAGTCGACTCCCCGAACAGCACCTGGGTCTGCAGACCCCGAGGAAGTCAGCCCTCCATGGGGGGCCATCGGCTTCCAGGACTCACGCTGGACGCTGCCTAGACGCTCCCCAGGGAGGACAGACAGACAGACGCCGGGCCCACGGAGAGCGGGTCCCGGATGCAAAGGCAGGGAGGGGACTGAGGGCAGGGGAGCCGTCCTGGGTCCCAGGATGGGACGAGGGCTCCGGCCCGGGGTGACCGCTGCCTACCAGAAGTTAAGAACCAGCAAATGAGGAGAAAGGACAGCTTCAGCTTCCTGAAAACGAAGAGAGAAAAACATCAAATATCTTTCCTTGCTTGCATAAAACAGGTCGAAACTGTGTCTTTCTCCTTGTTTCCACAACAAATGAAGAAATATTGACAAAGCAGCAAATGGTTGAAATCAGCAATAAAAGTGTCCAAATACAGCTGTTTGTTATGGTTCTCAAAAGCTAGACTTTCAAAAAAAATTTTATTTTTTATAAAGAGGGGAAGGGAAGGAAAAGTAGAGAGAAACACTGATGTATGAGAGAAGCATCTATTGGTTGCCCTTTGTACGCCCCCAGCCAGGAACCTGGCCCACCACCCAGGCATGTGCCCTGACTGGGAATCGAACCAGTGACCTTTCAGTTCACAGGCCGCTGCTCAATCCACTGAGCCACACCAATCACGGCAAAAGCCGGACTTCTTAAAAATCACTTACAAACCAATCCTTTAGTCTCTAGGGTAGGATACGCCCACTTCGATTCGTTTCAAAGCTGACTCAGGACCAGTGTTGTAAAAAGTACTGACAGTCCAAGCTTTAGAGCTAAAAATCACAACCTCAGTGAGTTACTTTGAAACACAAGTTACCTTCACTCCAGAGTGCAGCTCCGGGTTCTCGGACCCTGCTTCATTCTGGGCACGCACCCGCGGTGATGGGGGTGGGGGGGTGGGCAGGAGGGACGCAGTGTGAGGGGAGTGGAGAGTGGAGGAAGACGGGGTAGCAGAAGCAAGCCGAGGCTGCACTGCAGCTCCGTGCCTACCCCGCGGCCCTGCAGGGAACTGGGCAGTGCAGGCGCCTTCCCCAGACAGACAGCAGTGCCCCAGGGTTTGCCCTGTGGCTCCCGGGATCCCTCCTCTAACAGAGGTTGCGCAAGCGCCCACCTCCATGAGGAGACAGAAGGAGCATCCCTTCCCACGCATGCTTGCAGCGTGCACACGGCGCCGGCTCCAGCAGGAGTCGGCCATCCTGCAGGGGCCCCACTGGGGTTCTCGCCATCACAGGAAGCGTGTTTGGAGCCCCCCCAAGTTTAGGTGGGACCCTGGCCTTGCCACCGGGGGCCGAGAGTCTGGCATTGATTGTGAAGACAAGGGGACATGTTCATGCTGACGGCGCGGGACAGCGTCTGGCGCCCAGGGAGTGAGTGCTCCAGAGTGTCGGGTGACAAAAATGACAATGACACTAGGCATAAACACAGTGACCGCATAAATTGTAATTACAGTATGTTGAACTGTAGTCACCTGCAGCCCCCTTAGCCCAGAGAGTAATAGGAGATGAGTAATAAAATGAACATTGAAACTTCTGGTGCCGTTGTGAGTTCTGGAGGAGGCGCTTTGGCAAACCAGAGCGATGCCACGGCCAGACTCCTTCCAGAGACAGATAGATGGTAAACGAACCAAAGGAAGAAATGCGGCCCCCAGCGTAATTTTAAATCTCGCGTGTACTCAAGGCAACCTCTCTGAGCCCCCACGAGTTCTCCTGTCTCCCGGGGGGACGCCTCGCGGTCTCCAGTAGCAACGGTCCCCAGGAGTGGGGCTTCCACTCACCGCAGGCCCCGGGGGCTTCGGCACTCCTCGCTTCGATCCCTTTGGTGTCACCGCCCCTCTTCCAGAGGCGCCCTTCGCAGTGGCGCTGACCCACGCGTCTCGGGCCGTGACCCCGGCCCCCCCGCGCCTGGAGGAAACAAGGAGGCACTTCCCGTGGAAATCCTGGGCAGGTGAGCGTCGAAAAGCAGCGCGAGGGTCCTGACAGTCCCTTTTGGTCTGAGCTACCCGCACGTCTGCGTCAGAGCCCGCGGACCCCCAGTGGACCCCGGAGCTCAGCGGCGCCCGTCCGAGCACAGCACGTCCACGACAGGAGGTGCGGTTCTTGTTCCAGGCACGTGTTTATTGAAATCTGAATCAAGGGTTCCTCTGCGGGGCACTTCCCCACGTGACACAGCGCCTGTCCCCAGCCCCGACGTTCACGCTAACTCGAACCTCCAGTGACAAAAAGGGCAGAGGGGGATACATGGCCACGGCTACAAAAATTTATACTCTGGGGTGACAAAACCATCCCTTCCCAATGCGTCAGTGATTTCTGAAGAACCCCAGCACCGGGCGGCGGCCAGCGTGCCCGTGGACGCTTGCACAGTCACAGCTACCCACGGAGCACGGACAACTCTAGAGCCGTCCCCCCAGGCTTCCACGGAGGAAGGGGCCCGGGGCGGAGAAAGCAGTCGGAGGTGAGTGGCCAGTCCTCCGAGCCTCGCCCCAATCCCCCCAGCTCGCCACCAACGGCTCGGGGTCTCCAGAAACCAGCATTTCCCCGCGGTGATGACCTCTGAGCCGGGAGAAGAGGCCGTCGAGACGTCCTCTCCCGGCTCACGCGTCTGTCTGTCTGTCTGTCTGTCTGTCTGTCTGCCTGTCTGTTGCTGGTGCTTCTGAACCAAAGGAGAGACGCGGTCTCTCTTCTGCGCCCTACAGGCCCCCCTTCTCTTCCGACCGCCTGTTTCAGGAAGAACAAGGTTTTGGAAATCCTTGCGCTATCATTCCCAGGGCCTGCCTTAATCTCCTTGGAAAAGAAACTACACTGGAGACGCACAGTACCAAGGGACTCCGCCTGGTTTCTGGTTTCCCCTCCCTCCTCACCGTGGAGGCCGCGGGGGCCTGAACGGCACATTAAAGGGCTCACTAAGCAACCAGGGATTTTGCACATGAGAGGCAGTTACACACCCAATCGACAGGCACACGTGGTGTTGTATTGGAAAAGCCAGGTGTATTTCTAAGAGGTCACGCCCACGCCGACAGTGAGTTACATGACACGGCCTTGGGGCAGCGGAGCAGAGCTCACGCGTTAACAAGCACCCGCGGGAGTGCGAGAGCAAGGAGAGGAGGACAGATCCTTTGGGTTCGTTTGTGTCTCGTGGGGGAGGAGGGGGGCAGGCTCGGTGAAATCACGTTCAGGTGAGGGTTTGCGTCAGTCGCGGCAGTGAACTCGGGCCTCGCTCTTCCCGGCCCAAAGCCGTCTGTCCGCCCGCTGGCCTCTGAGGACGGGTCAGTCTTCCGCCATGTAGAAGTGGTACATCAGGCCCACGGCCAGCGCCGAGAGGGCTGGGATCGCCCAGTTGGTCCACCAGCTGGAAAGGAACAGCAGTGACGCTCGCGTGGTGCTCTCGGCTCGGCATCTGCGCACCTCCGGAGCACCACGGAAGTCCCCTCTCTGACCTTCCTGGGTGAGACGGAGACTCTCGAAAGTCCCCTCTCTGGCTTCCCTGGGTGAGAAGATGACTCCTGCTAAAAGGGACGCGGCTGGTACCCGTTCTGGCAACTGCTCTATGGTTCTTGCCTTATGAGAAAACCGATGGCTACCCCCTCACCGACCTCCACTTACATCTACTTCTGTAAACTTGTACAGAGAGCTGGGAACCACTCCCCCAAAAGCTGCCACGAGCTAGGACTAGGGACTCGCCTAAAGGACGTCGAGTCTGGGTACGCGTCGCCAGCTCACACAGGGAATACTCCTCTCAGGTTTTATTCTGGTGCCATGTATGTGTTAAGAACTTAAAACGGCACGAAACTGAGAACCAGAAGCCGAGGCCCTCGCTTTGGGAGAGCCGTGGGCAAGTGCCACAAGGGTGCCCAAGGGCGAATCCCAGGCCGTGAGCTGGAAGAGAGGGCAGGGCTCTGACCCGGCCGGTGACCGAGGTCGCTGCCAGCACCGCCGGTCTGCCCCGGGGACTCTGTGTCGGAAAGCTGATCTTGACCCGCGTGCAGCAGACTCGCCGTGTTGACAAACGGCGTGCCCAGACTCCCTGATCCGCAGGTGGCCCACGGGTGGGGGCCCACAGAGTCCCTGCTTGCCAGCTGCTCAGTCCCAAGGCCCAGAATTACGGGTCGGATCGGGGCCGGAGCTAGACTTGCCCCTGTCATTTCTTAGGAAAGAGGAATTGATACACAGGTTTGAGAGTCTGAGCAAAGCCAGACGACACCCAGGGCCACCTCCACTTCCTGTCATACAGTGTCCGTCCTTTGCCCCCTGCACACACCCACCCACCCATTCAAAGACTGGGTTTGATACAAAGGTCTTGGCTGCAGGAGGATTCCAGGCGACTCTGCACCCTGGGGGGGCTGTGTCCCTTCCGGAAGAAACCGTGTGACCGTGAAGAGGAAGGCGGACGACCGCCAGGAGGCGGGGAAGGTGCGAGATGGGGCGGTCACCTTCGACGGGGTGAAGCTGCATCGGCATCATCTGTGCTCGTGGGGCGGGGCTCGGGTCCCCGATAAATAGCCATCTGGTGGCAATGACACAAGTCAATGTCACAGAGCTGCCAAAAATGCTCCTACGACCTTGGACTCACGTCCAGAAATCTGGGCCACGGAGCAAGCGATGCACGCCGCACGCGGACTGCTGGGGCAGTTCCGGGCCCGGGGCCCACCGGCCCGGTGCCTCCGCGGGAGCACTGCGGCCTCCAGGACCGGCGTGCCCCAGCGAGGAAGGACAGCAGACGTGGGCTGGGGAGTGAAAGGAGCCCCGACGTGTCCCGCTGTTCCTCAGGGCAGACACAGCGGGAGGGCGAGATCCGGGTCGTTCCGGAGAACGCCCGCAGTCTGAGCTGTCTGCGTTTCAGGGAGGAACGCCCCGAGCAGTGGGGGTGCCGAGTGGAGATGACCCCGGGTGTCCCGAGGTCAGAGAGAGACACCTCCGGCCCTCTGAGTGTACGAGCCCCCCGGATCACAAGGACGGTCGGAGAGAAAACTAGCACCTACCTGTAATTAGAGTCCACTGTGGTGATGAGGGTCTCCTGAAACGGAGAGAAGAAGTAAGATGAGCTAAAGGGGACAATGGACCGAAAACCTGCTTTAACATAAGGTCACGATGTCTCTGTGACAACACATTCTTCACAAAGACACTGGGCAGGAAAGTTACATCATATACTCCTTCCACTAAAATGCCTAAGCTCACCATTTGTTTCTGAAGAAAAAGTTTAAGGAAGATCTATATCTAAATTGCTTACGAACACAACCTAGATAATTTGGAAGAAACTGCTAAAAACTAACAGGCTACATAAAGTATCCCGTGCATACAGATATCTAGATACTTAAAAATAGAAAAGGACAACGGGCGTGATTTACACACGCACACAACCCCACCGTTATCGTGTGAGCAAGAGGATTTTAGTCTCCAAAACCGTGAATGAAACGGTCAATTAAAAACACTGATTTCATTCAGATCTTATATGCAGTAAAAGTGTCCCCAAATTACGTTAAAAGACATGTCAGCTGAAAAGAAAAAAAAAAAGAGAACTGCCATTTCAATTTGTAGCACTCTGGATAAACTTGAACTCTGACCAGACAGTTCTAGAAAGGCACTGGAGGCCTTGGGGGCCGACCCCACACCGCCACCCGCCGGGAGCGTCAGAATAAGGACGCCCTGCACACGAGGTCTTCCCCAGCCCCGGCCTGTTCACCCCCCAGCCGCTTCTGGGAGTCCTCGCCAACACCAGGAGCGTGACCCCAGAGGGCTCTGGGAAGTGGATGCTTCCCCAAAGAGCCGGATAACCAAGGCCTCCTGAAGTACAGACGTTTCCAGGCTCACAGACGTGTTAGGAAGCGTTGTTTTAGAATTCCACACCAGCAGAAGCGTTATTAGCGTCTCAGAGGAAGCCGGCTGTCAACAATGCCACCGTGTTAGAGCTCATCTCTCTGCGGTGTCCCAGAGCACGGGACAGAAGCCGCTAGCAACACAGGCGGCGGTGCGCGAGGCTCCACACGGCGCAGCAGCACGCGGACACAGCTCCCGCGGACGGGCAGAAGCCCGCTCGGGGCGAGCCGGGGAAGCGGCGCGGCAGCCCACCCACCTGGGAACGCGGCTGTTAACATTCCTGACACGGGAGCGGGGAGGAAGCAGGTCATTGAGGAAGAAAACTGGACAGTTAGTATCTTTCGGAGTGAGTACAAAAAGCATTCACAACTGCCGCAAGGCGATTTTTCAGGTTCGCTGTATTACAAGTAAAACTAGCAAAGATGCTTCCAAGTAACTGAAATACGCAGAAATATCACTGAGCTATGAGGAGAAAGACACAGTCAGCTCTGAACCCCAGTAGTTCGTGGAAGGCAGAACCTGGTCACACTGGAGAGCCTCACCTGAACCAGCAAACAGCGGGCGAGCGTGCACCGTCCTTCTGTCAGGCCGAGCCCAGGCACGTGCCTGAACCTGGGGACAAGGCCGGAGCCCCCACGGCCTGGCCCCGCCCCGCCTCGGGTGCACCCAAGCACCGAGGCTAAAGCACTGCTAGTGCGTCATCGTCGCCATCGGCAACAACAGTGACCTTGGAAAGAGCTGAGCTTTAAAGATCGTGGCCATCGATTGCTTGGTGTCTGTCAGGCTCTTAACCCAGGATGCTTGAGAGTCGAAGCAAGTTTGAATTACCAGCGAGCGCTTCGGTGCAAAGGAAACGGTCTCTTCGGTCCTTACTGTGAAGGGGCTAAGCTGGGCTTTGAGTGTGCAGCAGATCAATGACGAACAGGGAGAAAACACCACGGTGTGCCCTACAGGCTCTGCCACCTGCTCACTCCGTGACCTTGAGGGGTGGCTCCATTTCAGCTGGGCTAACAATGAAAACGGTGCATGATGAGCTCTACATAAAAGCCTGCAGAGCCCATCGAGCTCCGGCAGGTCAAAGTCATCTCATCACTCAGCTCACCTGACGTAACCCACTCTTTCACTGAACTCGTCCCTGAGAATACTGCCAACAGACTGACGCCTTCCCTGCAGAGCCCAGAGCCGACCTACGCTTCAGAGACTGCAACTGGCAAGCCTGCTGCGGCTGCCGGCCGTGGGGCTGCAAGGTCAAAGCTCGGGACCCGGTCTGAGTGCCATTGTCTTCGCCAGCCCTGGGGCCCACAGGGATGCCGTGACAACCAGGTCAAGCCACACAGACAGCAATGCTGTGAAGACTACAACCAAGAAACGGTGCTGCCAGCCACTAAAATCTTTCACGGGAGCAACCTGGTGCATGTGAAGGCGTTTGATCCAAAGCCCATTATTTCTACGTCTGCCGAGATCTTCCTCTGGCAACCTGCATCCTGTTTTCCTTCGGGCACGTTCAAGCGAACAATCTTCGCTGCATCTGATGTCACAACTCAACTGTGTAGGTGTTTCAAGCAGGCAACATTTCAACACTTCAGGCCCCAGTGTTCACTGATCAGTCTGCAGACAGATGGACGGTCACACAGACACACGCAGCGAAAGCGGCCTCTGAGGACACACTGTTCTTTTGGTAAACCGGGGGCACGGTCTACAAAGGGGGCCACGTATTTTCCTCTGCCGTGTTTGCTCACGGCCTGTAAGAAAAAGAACAAGCTCTTGGAGCCCACTTCCCTCCAGTCCTGCTCTAAGGAGAGCAGAGGTACATGGGTTCTAAGTGCAAACAGAGGAGAAGAGAGTCTGTCATTCAAAAATAAGGCCTGACGGTGGGAGGCTGTAGCCCTGACGGTGGGAGGCTGTAGCCCTGACCGGTGCCTTCTGCTCGTGGGTGCCCTGGTTTAAGGCGTAGTCCGGTCTGCATTAGATCTAAGTTCACATAATGAGCCTTGCCAAATCCTTGTTTGATGACAGCCCAATGATTTGCACCAAGATTATTAAAGACGGAATCCCTAACAGGAGAAAATATACTTTTTTTCCTGACAGGCTTTGGAGAAAAAGCAAACGCTTCAATGCACCCTGGAATTTCAGCAGTTTAAAAAGTAGCCTCAGAAAAGGTGCTGCAGCCATATAAACCAACTGCAAAGATTCTCAGCAACGGTTACAGAGTCAATCCAAAGTCTAAAGTCCATTTTTTATCTTCCCAAAGTACTGGGATCAGCAACATTGGCCTGGGCCTTCCTTGAATCAGGAAAGGAGGGAACATGATAAAACTGCATCATGCAGACCTTTATATTGTCCCATCTGGGGTACCAAGGTCAACAGCACCTTCATGCTCTGCTGGATTAATGGCTCGATTTTCTTGCCGATTAAATTTAGACAATGTCTTGTCAGCAGCCACTGGCAAATGAGTTCACCAGATCTTACTACGAGCTGTGTGTGCAGCCGTATGCTTGTGCCCTCTCCAATAAAACCAAGGACATCACTGGAGACGGAGAAGTGACCCTTTCTGTCACCTGTTTTAAGCACAACTTCCCCACAGCCCTTTAACTACGGGCCAGGAACTATTTTCCCGCTCGCACTTCTGGGGAACTCGGGCTGCCGTGGCCCCTTCTCACTGCGGATTTATCTTCCGACGTGAGCGGGGTGGCCAGCTCAGAGGGAAGGCTGCGGGATCAGGGCACACCACGAGTGTTACTCGAGTTATTTTCCTTTCCTAAGGAAAAATGCCTCAAAAAGTTACTATTTAATTTGAACAACATTCAGTTTAGCCAGGAGGTGTTTCCCAAACATCGACGGTGTCCCAGAGACGTGGAGAGGAAGACAGGGGTTGTGTCCCCAAAGGCTTGAGTATGAGGCTCCGGCTCCAGGTGACGCTCTCTGGAAACCATGCTGGGCCACAGCCTTCACAGCAGAGGCACAGCGCTGGTTACGAAAAGTGGCTCTTGCACAGGCATCCGTTGGCAATCACGATGGGAAAGGATTTTAGGTGTTGAGAGTCTTGTGCAGAGAACACACGACTCCTCTGATCGGTCACACTGTGACCGGTGGCCTCGGTCAGGCCGGGGGGAGACCTCCACCCTCTGCTGTGCCGGGGTGACACCCAGCGTCGGTTACCCCAGCCAGTGAGACACTCCAGACGGTCACACTTACCGCAGGCTTCTGTATCTTCCCTCTGTCGTCCTGCAATGAAAAACACGGCACATCACAGGACGGAAAATGTCTACGGAAGCCCCGTCCCCAAGGTGCTCGCTCTCTCTGAGGTTTCTAAAATACATCGTTTTAGGTTCATCTGTCCAGGTCGCGGGACGTGTTTGAGCCTTCTGACTTGACTGCGAAACTTGTTCTCAGATCAAGTGCTGAGAGGTGGTCTGACCTAGAGTCCCAAGGGTGAGAGCGGCACCCGCGGGAGTTGTGCTGACCTGTGGGTGAGTGCAAGCACTGATGGGACTCGGGTTCCTGTCGTATTCCAGGGGCAGCTGAGTAATCAGGTTCTTCCCGTCTATCCTCGCAAACTGCCGTTAGGGTGTGTGTGTGTGTGTGTGTGCATGTAGGTGTGTAAGTGTACCTGCATTGTGTGTGTGTAACTCGTGTGCTACCCTCAGTAAATTCCTCCAGTCTCCCAGTGGTAGGGTCATCATCTACCTAAACCCCCAGCTGCGTCAGTTCAAGGTCAAGTGTGTCTGAAGGCTGACCACCAGTGAGCCCAGTAGGCAGATGAGACAAAAATGCTGCCGGCCTCGCCTAAAAACCCACCATAAAACTGCTCCCTTTGGTGAAGGACAAGGACGAAGGTATGTGGGCCAGTAGAACTTCCAGATAAACGAAGCTGATTGTCTCAGAGTGCCCTCTCCTTCCCCGAAACCCGCCCCCCCCCAGTGGAACGACGGAAATGCCGTGAACGGCCCCCTCCCCAGGCTTCCCCCCAACCAGCCCCCCCAGTCTCCCCTTCACGCGCCGCCGTGACAAGACGCACCGGTCCCGAGACAGAACTTTCCGGGCTACTTACCGGGTGCAGCTCCCCGATGATGTAGTTTTGGGACAGCTCCCGGGCATCCGTAGAGTGCCCGACGTCCTCGAAGTTCTCGGTGGCGTCGCCCCCGGCCTGTTCCCGCAGGACTTCCTCCCCGCCGGGGTGCTGTGCGAGGGACACACAGAGAGGCAGGCTCAGAAAACCGTGACCGACGGTCTTTTCCCAAGCAAATGGGATCAAGGAAGCGGCCAGTTTATTCAACCAGACAGTCTGCTCCGGAAGGCACAGGCAACAACACGCGAGGGCAGCACGGCCGTGACGCGGGCAGAGACGCCGCGCTCCTTCGTCTCCCAGAGCCTTCTCGGAGGCGCGGAGAGAAGCCCTCTCCCACGGAAAGTAAGGCGCCCGTCTCTGGGTCACTCTGATCGCGTGGAGAGCAGGAGGCAGACATATCTCATCCTTTGACAACACCCTCTTTGCTTCTCCGGAAAGCTCTCAAAAGTGTTCTTCTTAATTTTTATCTAATCTCTTTTTCCTTGAGTCCTATCCCTTTGACCTCGTGGGCCCCGGTGTGCACGTACGCCTTTACGCCGTAGATGACGGTGCACCTTTGAAGAGCTCGGCGTGCGCCCGCCCAGTGCAGAGCGGGTACAGCCGGTGGGCAGGGGAGTGAGCCCCCTGCCTCTTGCAGTGCTCACCTTCTAGTCAGAAGGCACAGAAAAGCAGGCAGGGGCCATAGTAACTTGGCTACGTCGAGGACAGGGAACAGAAGCAAAGAGGGGAGAGCTCAGCTCTCCCTTCCAGTGCTTGTAGCTGCCTTGATGGTAAAACCAGCCAAGGCTGGTCATGTGCAGGGCCTGACAGGTGGGCCCAGGCATGGAGACAGGTGCGGGCAAGGAGCGGCATTACCAGTGCAGCAAAGGGAGCATGCTCAGTTATATCGCCCCAAATACCCTCCTAGGGGAAAAGACCCTCTTAAACTGAACTTCATTATTACCTTAGATCAGGGGAGTCAAACTCCTTTTCACCGGGGGCCACATCAGCCTTGCGGTTGCCTTCCAAGGGCCAAATGTAACTTTAGGACTGTATAAATGTAACTGCTCCTTAAGAGTTAAGTAAGAGCACGGTGCTGCCACCAGGTAGAAGCAAGGTGCTAGGCCAGATGAAACCAGGTGGAGGGCCGGAGTCGGCCCGAGGGCCTGCTGTTTGCCAGCTGTGCTGTAGATAAAAGGCACCATGCCCTTGAGCAAAGCACCTGTCCGTGTCCAATAACTAAGGAAAACAGGTCTCACTGGCACAACTGACTGTCGTCTCTTCTTAATTTCTGCCAACAGGGGCAGATGTAAAGGCACATAACACGTCTTAGAAAGGTAGACAATTGTTCTGGTTTGCAATCTGTTTCTCCTCCTCCTGTATTTAAACATAGCAGTGCTAAACAAACTTACTTATTTTTCTCTTCTATTTGTAAAAGTAATCCATCTACATTGCAGAAAAATTGGAAAGCACAAAAAGAAAATAAAAATCACTTATATCACCCATAATCTTGCCATCCAGAGAAACCTGGATACACACATATATGCATATGTGTGAATAATTTTAAAAAGAAAACTGATTGCTACCAGATGCACCCAGTTTTGTTAGATAAAAAGTAGGTTACCACACACAGCACAGAGACAGGATGCCTGGGGTCACGCCTACTCCGTGGGCTTGGGGAAATAATGGTCCTGATATAGTTTCTGAGGATCGAATGTGTTGTCATATGTGTCTGGTACATAATGTATGAGCAATAAGTATTAGCCAGCATTTTCATTAGAAATTTTCCATCATTATTCCTCAGCGTGGCTTTGTAAACGGCTGCACACTGTTACACCGTGTGGGTATTTCCAACCTCATTTAAGTGTCTCCCACTGGGGCATCCAGGGTATGGGAAGCCCCATAAACAAGCGTGGGATGCAGGGCGGAGGCACAGGCAGGCGGCAGGCTCACCCCCAGAGGCAGGGGGAAGCTTCTGGATGCATCTGCAGGCTGTGGCAATGACAATGTGGTGTGCGGACCTGGGACAGTTGGTTTATCGTTGGGCGGCGAGCTATCAACGAAGTGACTCACTTGGCACTCACAAATTAGGGAAAGTCGGCCAGCCCTTCCTTTGGGTGCTGACCTCACCGGTGAGAGCGCTCTGCCTGCGAGGATTTGGCTGGGCGGACAAACCGCCCAGGGGAAGCCCCTGGTTTCCAGCACGGCCTGTCTCCCAGGGGGAGTTCAGGTGAGGCTAAGAACACATACGGGCCTTGGATAAAGAGTCATAAAACCAGGCAAGTTCTAAAAACACAGAATTTGATTTTAAAGTGTTAACATGGAGAAAGTAAACATTCTACTTCACTGAGAGTAACACAACTTCCTTCACCTGAAATAAAAAGGCAACTTCTCAGCTCCTGACCGGGCACAAGGAAGGAAAGGGTGTGTGCCTGGACGCAGGCCTGCATCTAGCTCGCTAGCTGTGACTTGGACCCCGCATCAGTGGTGAGGCCGTCTTCCCGGGGTGGGGGCGGGGCGTAATGAGAGAGAAACTCTGTGGGTCTTACCGGTTTCACTGAGCACCACCTAAACAAAACTAGAGCACAGAATAAGTGAACTGGTGCAAAGATAGGTTTGCCCTACCCTAAAGAGTTAAACAACTAGTAAGAAAAACAAAGCCTGAAAACTGAGTTTTTGGGGCCAAATAACTCAAGACTTGATAAGACAATTAAAAAAAAATACAGGAATGCCTTATTGCCATACCGGGTATGCTCCTTGAAACGGGGGAAGAGACAGACAGCAACATTAAATGAAATCTAAATCACGACACCTGGTGATTCATCTTATCACCCTTCTCCCACCTGTAGCAACTCCATGCGTTTTAATAAACCCATTACGTCTTAAGACTCAAGTAAACACTCTCCCTCACCTGCCAGAAGTCGTAACAAAGAAAACCTGGGGACGTGGCCGTGGGCGCCGCCTAGTTCCGAGGTGGGCATGCCTGCGACCCCTGTCCGGAAGCCCGCAGAGCACGGACAGTGTCTTTTGGGACCAGCTACAGAATGCGGGGTGGCCCGGGACAAGACAAGCTTTGGGAAAGGACAGTGGTGGAATAACTCGGAAGGAGGGGAAAAGGCCACACGCAGGCAAGACTAGACGCAAGGAAAGAGGCAGAATTCTCCGGAAGACTCTGAGCCACCTGGGAACCCTGGGACCTCCCTGCTGCCACGGGCCTGGGCCGGCCCCAGCGGCAGAGCCCGGGCAGACAGAGAGCAGGGCCTGGGGGACAGGGAGGAGGACAACTGGAATACCGGCACCTTCCCCGGAGCGTCCTTCTCACCCAAAGGTCCCGTTTCTCCCGAGGAGGACGTGTCTTCCTTTTGCCTTAGGTGTGAGCTCACCAGACACACGTAGTCACACGCACAGTGCACTGCCATGCACCGGCCCGCGATCGGTAGCGGTGGCAGCGAAGAGAGGCGAGCGGCACAGTAACACAGACACGCGTCAGCGGTGGGGCCCCCCACCCCCCGCACTGGCAAATCCCCGACATCTTCCCATCTTCCGTGCCCCTCGGCTCCCGCCAGAGCCGCCCCCCCGCCCACCCCGGGCCTGCAGCTCCGACCTCAGTCTGCATTGCCGCCCCCAGACTTCCCTCCCCCAGACGTGACTTCCTCCACCCCCAGCGGCCATGCTGAAGGGCATCAGGTGCGGAGCCCTTGGCTGGGCTCGGGTCTGAAAGGGCCCGCCCCGCGCCCCCACCCCCACCCCGGGGTCTCCGTCTCCCCACTCAGCGCTGCCCAAGTTGTCTTTGCGTTGAGGCATTGCTGAGAGTCCTGAGACCAGGGACTCCGTCTGTCCTGTCCCTCGATGTCGCCCTGGTACCTGGTGCAACACCTGGCACATGCAGATAAAAACACACAGGTAACTTTCAAACAAATAAGATACTCGCAGATCGTCCCACTCGGGCTTTGAAACCGTGAGCTGGGACCAGCCAGCGGTCAACGACCGTCTTCCCAGGCCAGCCTCATCCCACTCTCCACTTCCTGAACTAACAGTAGCTCTGACCCTATCATTCCACATTTAATTGCTGTTCAGCCCCTTTAATCAAAACATTTACTGTCCCGTGTGTGAAAGGCATTGTGTGGGACACGCGAAAGTACACAAAAGATCGGTGTGATTTGGTCCCAAAGGAGCACGCAGTCACTCTGAGGTCAGTGGAATAGCGCAGAGATGGCGGGGGGCCTTCCTCGACGCCACCTCGGAGCTGGGATCACTCTCGAATCACCCAGCAGGTCCTAAACTCGCAGTCACAGGAGACGCGAGCGTGAACTTGTGTCACCTGCCCTGGGAGGCAGGACTGAAGGAGTCACACACCTGCTGAGCACAGCCACGGACCACACACACCCGCTTCAGGAGAGGAGGCTCCCTAGGTGCGAACTGAAAGGCGCCCCCTCTCCAGGTGAGGGGCTCCCAGGTGAGGCCCGCGGGCTAGAACAGGAGTCCGGCCGGCGCCCAGCTGCCCTGGGAGAAAAAGCAGCATCTCTCTGGGAGGGAGCGGCCAACAGAAAAGCTGCAGTTGCCCGGGGACCAGAGGACTCTTCTCCATGGCTCCGTGGCGGTTCTCAGGATCAAGTCTCACCTGTTTTACCGCCTGCTGGCCCTGGGGCACTGGAGGGGGAGGGCCGGAGTGCCCGTACACCCAGTGCAATCGAGCCTTGCGTGACACAGTGCATTCTGGACTGTGTGTGTATTTGGTTGGACGTACAGTCAGAGCTCCAGGGCTCCCGTCCTCCTCCCACAACCAGTCAAGGTCTGAGGGCTCTCTTGGGCTTTCCAGCCCCACTTTACTTAACGCGAGAAATACAGGTGTCACCGTGCTTGTGGATGTCCAAGTTCAGGGTCTCCCAAGAGCATATGAAAATGAGAGAGACACAAAGGAGGAGGAAAACAGGACGTGTTAAATGAGTATCAGTAAGTTCAAGAAAAGGATGGGTACTCCTGTTGACGACGGGCAACATGGGGGAACCTCTGGGCCGCACTGGGGCGGCTCTGCGTGCCAGGGCCCTTGGGGGGGGGAGGGGAGGCCGCCCCTCCCCCGAGGGTCGGTCATTCCCGTAGAGGGCACTTGCTGAGCCTGTGCGGGGCTGGAT